TCAACTCACGTTCTGGATCAGCATGAAACCCTGAGCGTAGGAGATGATCTTGGAGGCGTAAAGAGCCTGCTCGAGGTTGTCGATGAAAGCCTTGCGGTCACCGGTGAAGCTGGGGCTGGGGCCATCCAAAAGACCAGCAGCACGGCCACGCTCCTGCTTGAGGGAACTCAGGCAACGAGCAAAGACAGCCTCTCCGATCAAAGTGACGGGCATACCGAGGTCGAGAGCGTTGATGGCGGTCCACTTGCCGGTACCCTTTTGACCGGCAGAGTCGAGGATCTTCTCAACGATGGCAGTGCCATCGTCATCGTTCTTGTACATGATATCGCGGGTAATCTCGATCAGGAAGGAGTCGAGAACGCCCTTGTTCCATTGTGCGAAAACGTCGCCCATCTCCTTGTTGGACATGCCGAGACCGCGCTTCATGATATCATAGGCCTAGTTTTTCATCAGTTTCCAATTTCTGCGCTGTTTCGCTGTTTCTGCTCACCTCGCAGATCAACTGCATGTCACCGTACTCGATACCGTTGTGGACCATCTTGACGTAGTGACCGGCACCCTCGTCACCGACCCATTGGCAGCAGGCCTCGCCGTCAGACTTTGCGGAGATGGATTGAAGGACATCCTAAGTGGCTGTCAGATATGCCTCGTCGTTTCTTGATAGACTCCGTACCTTGATGTAAGGCCAGGCCTCCTCGTTACCACCAGGCATGATACTGGGGCCATAGCGAGCACCCTCCTCTCCTCCAGAGACGCCAGTTCCGACGAATCGAATGCCCTTGGCCTTGAGGTAGTTGGTGCGGCGGTTGGTGTCGGGATAGTGGGAGTTACCACCGTCGATGATGATGTCGCCCTCCTCGGCACCTCCCTTGAGGAGGAGCTCGATGAAGTCGTCGACGGGCTTACCAGCCATGACGAGCATCATCATGCGGCGGGGCTTCTTGAGCTTGGCGACAAACTCCTCGATGGAGTGAGCACCAACGATGGACTTGCCCTTGGCCTCTGTTTTTGTTGTTAGTTTTGTCGGCAAGTAATTGCAGTACAAGACTTGCCATCGTTCAGGAATCGGTCGACCTTGGCGACGCTGGCTGGATGTCAGTGAAGTTTCCGAGGGTGTGTAGTTGTCGTGCTTACGTTCTGTTGAAAGCAACGACCTGAGGACGAAGTTAGTTTTCTGAACTCGATGAGTTGTCAAGACGTGGCTCGTACCGTGAAACCGTGGTCGGCACTAGATTATGTCAGTATTTGATTGATATCGTAGAGAGTGCGGTAAAAGACTTACGCGTTGAGGATCAAGTTCTGACCCATGACCTAGGACTGGTATCAGCACATGCCGAGTCTTCCAAGATGCGAGCCATGGCAATGCCTGGCTGGAGCATACTCACGGCCAGGCCGATGAGGCCGAAGTCTCCGACAGCCTCAGTCATGATTGCTTTTGTGGTGAAGAGAGGTGTGTAGGTGTGTGGTTGGGTGGAGGGGGATGGCGGGGTAAAAGTTGCAGCGACCGGGCTACAACAGTTGAGGGCAATTGAAGCTTTTTGAGCGGGTGATTGACAAGAAGAAGGAAGAGGAAGCTTGGTGGGGGTCTCTGAGATAATGTAGTCGCCGGAAGACTTTGGAAACAAGCGGGGCAGGCTACCTATTGCATCAATGGTGGCACGTCCCACCAGATCCCAGCATCACAGGTCATGGAGGATAGCTTCGGCCGCGGCGGTAAGGCCAAATGCCCCGTAAGCGGCTCTTGCCAATTGCGCGTGTTGGTACGGAGGAATTGCTTGCGCTGCCCATTTGGCTGCGTGCTGAACAAACACTGCTCATGCTTAGCAAGCAGCCTGCCGATGGGGCCGTCCAGATGCGAGCAGACTGGCCATGGCAATGGCTGCAAATGCGACGCCTCGCTCAACCTGCTGTCTCAACTCTCCGTCTCTCACACATAGCGGCTATGAGCATACAGCCGGACACAGAGGGGAATACGCGTAGATGCGGCTGCTTTAAGGCGCTCCGTTTTTGCCTGCACACCATGACGCCGGCCCCTCCGCCTCTCAGCCTTAACACAGCATTACGGGACGAGGGGCAGCGTACAGGGGTGGTCGGACACGCTAGAGGGCAGGCATGGGCACCGGAAAGCGAGTGGCAGGGCGACATGGCCAGGCTAAAAGGCCGGTGGGGAGCGGGTCAAAGCAAATGTTGTCCGATGTGTGCTGTGCCTGCTTGGAGGTCCGTCGCTAGTTACGTAGACAGCCATGGGCGGGAGAGTGGGCGGGAGAGTGGGCGGGATGGTGGCAGTGGGTGGATGGCGGACAGGCTGAAAGGCCCGATGGATGGCCGCACAGCCGCATATATTGACAGGCAGCATGTACGTACTGTGTAGTGTATGTACATGGTAAGTAGAGTAGATAGGCCGGCCCGCACGTGACCCGGCGGTTTCGGGCCATGTCTGAGACTGTGTCGTTCTTTCTCCGTCGCAGACGCAACAAATAACAACACCAAACGTCACGCCGCGCCCCCATCACACGCCATCCCACGTAATTGCCAATTTGCACCGGCCCGCCCTTCCCTCCCACGCCCTTCAAACGCCGATCTCCGACGCCGCCCACCACCAGCCCTGCCACCCACTTTTTCACCACTTGCTTGCCTGTGCCACACCCTCTCTCTGCGGCATTAATTCCCACCATACAAACGCCCCTCACCATCACCGTCGCACTACCCGAGTCACTGCCTTGCCATCACCAGCCTGAACTCACCCTCACCGCTCACCTTGCTGCCTAGACGCCATGCAGCCGCACCACTCTCTCCCCGCCCGTCCTCCTCCTGCAACCCACTCGACCTCGCCGTCGAGACCTAACAACAGTAACAACAGCACAGGCGCGCGAGCACAGAGCAATTCCACCATGTTTCAAGGCTTCACACCGCGCTCGATAGCAGCCCACGCGCCCCCTCAGCCATCTTCTGCCGCCGCAAACTACTCGCAAGCCACAGTGAGCGCTCCATATCAAGCACCCGCTTACCCGACCAGCAATGCTTACAACAACTACTCGTACCCAGCCTATGCATCGGGTGCTCCTGCTTCCGCCTACTCAGCTGCTCCTTCCGTGAACCGCGGATATGGTGGCGCGTACGACCCCGAAGAAGAGGCACGTATTGCAGAGTGGAACAGCGCGTACAACGCGGCCGACACCAACGCAAAAAAGGGCGCCAACCCAAGCGTCACCGCCCGCCCAGAAGCTGCTGCCGCCAACGAGGCCGAGACTGGTCTCGGACCTGACGGAAAGCGCAAGACTGTAGTTCGCGAGGGAGGTGGAAAGCAATGGGAGGACGAGACTCTGCTTGAGTGGAACCCTCTGCACCCCCGACTTTTCATAGGAAATCTTGCTGGTGAAGTCACTGATGATTCGCTCCTCAAGGCTTTCGCAAAGTACCCCTCGCTCTCAAAGGCCCGCGTCGTCCGAGACAAAAAGTCGACCAAGAGCAAGAGCTATGGCTTCGTCAGCTTTGCCGACACCGACGATTATTTCCGAGCCGCAAAGGAAATGCAGGGCAAGTACATTGGCAGCCACCCGGTCCTCATCAAGCGAGCCACGTCCGAGATCAAGCCCATCGCGAAGCGGGAAGACAGACACAAGCAGCAGGGCAAGAACAAGAACAACAAAAACAAGGACAACAAGGACAAGCCCGGCTCAAGCAGTACTCCCGCCGTCGTCGCGTCTCCGGCCATGTTCATACCCCGCGGTGTTCAGAAGAAGAGCAAGTCAAGCGGCCCGAGGGTATTGGGTTGAGGTATCATGTCATTTTTGTACCAGATGCTCAATCGGATCAAGCTGGCGACCGCGATTGCCGCACGCAATCCTGTCATCGACCTTGCGTCAAGTAGCCTCAAAGGTTAGTTGACTCTCTTGGTCTCTTTTTCCAAGTACATCCCTGTCCATACCTGCATTCTATTTTTGTTTTGCATTCCAATGGAAAGCGGATTCTTCGCTATAGACAAGACGGTGAAGCTCGAGGGAAACCCTGGAGTAGGTCTCATTCTATGCGTCCTTGTGAAAAGATGCACATTTGTGGAGTGGATGCAGCAGTGCAGCACGAAGATGTGGTTCATAATGCGGACCATGGCCAAGGGCCAACGAGAGGGAAGTGTAATTAAGATGAACTAAGAGACCACAACTTTAGCGTAGTGATACCCTCAACGACCTAAATTTAACATGTTACTTTTCATTGGCTCGACAACCATCTCACCCAGTCTACCTCCTGCTCAGAGAGCTGCGAGTAACATTGCTAGACCGCGATTCGAGACATAATCCTGGTCTATGCAAGTATTTGTAGAAACTCCACCCCGCTTTACAAGATATCTCACTGTATAGTGTGTAGTAAACAGCTGGCGTTGTTGCTTCTAGGTGGTGTGGTGGCATTTGCCGTGTCCTATCAGAGCCGTTGAGCCGAGGTGAGAGCATAAGCCGGCCCGTTTTGTCCTCGAGATACGCTTTGGCACGCCATCGCCCAACAACAGAGCAGTGCTTTTTACTAAATCTCCCCAGCAAACAGGTGTTCCTCGACCATGACTTTCAATCCTTGCGCCAAATCTAAAACCTGGAGCTCGATGATTTCAATCATGCTTTGACACAATGCCGCCTTCACAATGTTGGAATTCGAGGTTAGCTGTTTGTACTACACTAAACAAAGCTTTCACATGCTACAGCAAAAGTTCTCCCATCTACCTAGATAGCAACATTGTCAAGATACAGTCGCGACAAACCACCTCCTACCAACCTCCGTTGTTACAACGCCGCTTCACCACCACCCTCACCACCATGGATATAAATGGTAGTAGTTTTTCCTACGGAGGCAGACTCCAACCCAGTCCTCAAACAGCTTTCCAACCACGTTGTTTATCTCCAGCAAATCCTCATATACATATTCGCAGGTTCTCAAACTCAACTGCGAATCGTCTTTCTTCTACAAGCACAATCGGTACTCCCGCACCGCAAAGTACCACGATCCCGAAGATGACCTCTATGCACTCCCAAGACTTCAAGCTTGCGCTATCCAAGCATGGTCTGACTGAAGACCATCTCAGCAAGATCCATGGTCTACTTGTGGAGATTGCTATTGATTGTGGCAAAATCATGGCGGCCGCCGAGCACTCAGTCCTTATAGCAGCACAGTACAAGAACAATACCTCCGACCTAGTCACCGAGTTCGACAAGCAGATCGAAGATACGGTGGAATCCCGCCTACGCAAAGAATACCCGGCCTTCAGATTCCTTGGAGAGGAGACGTTCAAGCATGGCACCAAGCTTGCTGATACGCCTACGTTTGTCTGTGATCCAATCGATGGAACCTTGAACTTCTCCAAGGGCGTGCCCAACTGTGCTATCTCTCTTGCGCTGACTCTCGAGAAGAAATCTATCATCGGCGTTGTATACAACCCTTTCCGAGGCGACCTCTACCACGCGATCAAAGGTCGGGGCGCCTACCTCAGCAATGCGCTCCTCGGAGTCGAGCTCAAGCTTCCGATCCAGCCCGTACCCCCACCAATGCCATCCTTGAACTCCTGTCTCGTCGCTCTCGAATGGGGAAACCAGCGCTCCGGTGAAAACTGGGCCCTCCGGACCTCCGTACACAACAAGCTTCTGACTTCCAAGGTGGAAGGCGGAGCCATGTGCAAGTCCGTCCGCTCCAACGGCTCCGCAGCCTTAGATTTCTGCTACGTCGCACAAGGCATCATCGATGTCTTTTGGGAAGGCGGCGTTTGGATATGGGATGTCTGTGCTGGCTGGATTATCCTGGAGGAGGCTGGCGGTATTGTTGCTAGCGCTAACCCTGGCGACTGGGATCCGTCTCTTGAGGGTCGTTTGTACTTTGCTGTTCGGCATGCGAAGCCTGAGGAACAGAAGGCTGTGGTGCAGGAGCTGTGGGGTATCATGGGTGATCGGAAATTTGTCTTCTAGAAGAGAGAATCATCGAGCTGCAAGGAAGGGGATTGATATTTGGTATTATGGTACTTGTGATAAATTGGTATTAAGGAGTTCGGGAGTCATATAGAGTTTAAGATACTGGTCAATATATGGATTGCTTTGATTTGATGCTCATGGTTCTGACAGGCTTTTTCAAGTACGTATCCTTTGAGCAGATGACTCAGATATTTGTTTGTAAAGTCATCATTTGCAAGGATTGCTGTTTGTGACACACATTGTTTCCTTTTAAATTCTTTCATCAGTGAATGGCTCCTTCTCAAAGACTTGTTGTGAGCCAACTGTAGTTCCCATAATGTTTTGTCGCCACCTGACACTTGACTTGAGCAGGTGCGGCAAGTACGATGAGCTACCACCTCCTCACCATCTGTTGAACCTACTGTTACAAACCTCAGCCCTCCCACTTACATCCCCACATACCTCAGTGTCATCATCCATACACATCGGCTTGTCTCCGTGAAACGATACAGATATTGAACAACAGATCCACAATAGGTACTGAGCCTATACTAAGTACGGTAAACGTGACTTATAATGTTCTGACTCGCAACCCAGCCTGAATATCATTGCTCCGTCAGCATCATCCGCACGCAACGGGCTTTCCGCACTATCTCCTGCCGCTCAGGTCATCGACTCGAGGGATACCCAGCCCCTTGCCTGAGCCAACTACCTATGCACTATAGCGATTCTTAGTTACATGCCGCTTGATTCACTGTTTACCACTCGAGGCTCCGAATCTCGACAAACCAAACCCAAAGTGCTCAGGAAACCACTCTTTCCTCTCCCACGATCCATTGCCAATCGCCAGACCATTTTTCACGCAGGACACAACCCTAGAACACACTCGTATTCAGGACGACCCCTTTCAGCAACAGAGCGATTGCACGTTGCCCGTGAGCGTCTTCGAAAGTTCGAGCAGGCACAAGTTAAGAAGCAAAAAAGGACCTGGCGTGTATCTCGCGCTCGCGCTGAACTTTTCCTAGAGCGAGAGAGACTTGCTCACAGACTAAAGAGCTTTAGAGACGGGAGGCTCTGAGTTTCATTGAAGAGACCTCGGGAATTTAGACATTTTGATTAGCAGTGCTGCCGGTGTGACTGGTGCTGTAACGAGTTGCATCATCCCGGCCCCAGCCCCAGGTGCACGCCAGTACTACAAGCCAAGACCGAAGGACCCACGAGAACCTGGTGAGCAAAGAAGAGCTATCAAGAAACAAAGGAAACAGAAGGAAGTGCGCGCCAGACTCAGAGCCAAAAAGAAGGCTGATCTGAAGGTACAGCAGAGCATATTGCGCATGAGAATGAGAGAGCTCAAGAACAGACTTCGGCTTTGCTAGATATTGTTGCTTGTACCTGACTGGGTCTGAGCACATACCCCTATTCTAATTTGAGTCACACGATTGGCACCCCCACTGGTTCGTGATATTTCCGCGTTTGACTTCGTTCCTAAAACTCAGTTGGGTTGTGGCAAGCCCGACGGCAAGATCTCTTGAATGACTGCTTGCATGGCGAGTGTCCGCAGTGGTCGTAGTGTTCGATTTTCCCCCAACACGAATTACCAATCAGAATCGGATTTCACTCAGTGGCCGGGAGTATATATACATCCTGGAGATTTCAAACACCCGTCGGAAAGATTCAAAGAACCGGAGGCGTGGGAAAGGCTCCGTAACCGCTTGAAGCATTGGGCAACCAGCATTCAGAAGGAGATCAACAGAAAGGCCGATTTGCATAGAAATCGCCGGTGGTTCCAGCATTCACTGGCCTGATACATCGACTAAGGATACTCGCCGTCGAGACAGTGCCTTACTACACAGTTTTCTACACGTCAAACGCTGCGTACTACATGGCACCATCGAATACACCCGCATTCCAATACGGCTCTTTACATCTTCGAGCCAAATACCAGACCACTTTGGAAGTGTCAGATGACGCGAGAGATTCCAGCGTTGGCGAAGACCCGGTTTGCTGATGTTCAGGCAATCGGTGGTTGACATTGTCTCTCGGAAGTGAGCACGGACCGCCCGCATCTGTGCAAGGCGTCAGAACTGCAGTTCATCAGACTTCACATCATGTTTGCTCACAGTACTCGCAACAGTCTCGCTGCAGCATCAAAACAGGCATATGTATGCCGAACATGTCTACACCTGGCTAGAACTCTTCCATTGGACGCTGTACACCGTCTCACTGCGTTCACAACACGATCTATCCAAACTGAAACCCAATCACCGCCATCGTCTCAAGATGGAACTTCTTTCCGCAAGCTCTTGAAAGACGCCGCAAAGCAGCAGAAGAAGGAAAAGGGATCTTCTACAGACTCCTCTAAAAAGTCCAAAGATGCGCGTTTGGAGAAATGGGAATTGACTGTTGGCATCGAGGTGCATGCCGAACTCAACACAGCGCGGAAACTTTTCTCTGGCGCTGCCACTTCTGTCAGCGAACCCCCGAATACACATGTTTCCCTGTTTGACGTCGCATTTCCTGGAACCCAACCTCATTTCCAAAAGGAGACTCTTCTTCCTGCCTTGCGCGCCGCTATAGCTTTCCAATGCGAGATTCAGCCTAAGAGCAGCTTTGACCGTAAACACTACTTCTATCAAGATCAGCCATCCGGGTATCAAATCACGCAGTACTACGAACCCTTTGCGAAAAATGGTAAAATTACATTATACCCTCACGACTTTCCTGCCGGCGCGGTGCCGCATCCAGAACCTTTCGATATCGGCATCAAGCAGATACAAATGGAGCAGGACACCGCAAAGACCGTGCAGCAACCGCCCTCTACCCATTTGCTGGACTTCAACCGCGTCTCACATCCACTAATTGAGATCATCACTCTCCCTGAAATTCATGACCCTGTGGTAGCTGCCGTCGTTGTCCGAAAGATCCAAAATATACTCAAGGCTGTCAACTCTTGTACTACTGGCATGGAGCTAGGCGGTCTGCGCGCTGATGTCAACGTTTCTGTTCGCCAACGCCATGCGGACTCATCTGAATCCAGTCACTCATACTCTGGTATCACTGGCCTGGGTCAACGGACTGAAATCAAGAACTTGGCAAGTGTCAAGGCTGTCGAGGATGCCATCATTGCAGAGCGTGACCGACAGATTGATTTGCTTGAGAGCGGAGGTACTGTTGAGGGCGAGACCCGTGGGTGGACTCTTGGAAGTAAGACCACGAAACGATTGAGAGGCAAAGAGGGTGAGATTGATTACCGGTACATGCCGGACCCTGATATTGCGCCTGTGATCATAGGAGAGGTAAGTCATGTGTTGATCTGCATCTCGAGACCACTGCTGACTATCTCTAGGATCTGGTCGAACACCTGAAGAACACTCTGCCAAAACTTCCCGATGTCAACGTAGATGTTCTGGTACACAATTACGGCCTAACTACCAAAGATGCCATCACTCTTCTTTCATTTGATGATGGAGAACGTCTGGAGTACTACATGGATGTCGTTACCGAATCGGTGCGCCTAGCCGAAGAGCAACAGGACAGTGCTTTGTTACAAACCCTTGGAAAGATTGCAGGGAACTGGTATGTATAATGTGTAGATTTCTTTGTGGATTAAGGCTAAGTCACTCAGGGTGCTTATGGAGCTCGGCTCTCTATTCAAAGACGAACCATGGGATCCTAGCCGCGTTTCAGCCAGAGATCTCGCCGAAGTGATCTCATTTGTGCGCCGCAAAGAGGTCACGTCACCATCAGCGAAGCGTCTAGTTGCGATCAAGTTCGAGGGAGATGCACGTAGTGTTCAGGACATCGTCCACCAAGAAAACCTATTCTTACAGCCCCTGAGCCAAGAAGAATATGTCAACCTGGCAAAGACACTATTGGAAGAAAATCCCAAAATGGTCAAGGACATCACTGAAAAGGGTCAGGTAAAGAAGACTATGTGGTTTGTTGGACAGATGGTGGCGCGAGCCCCAGATGGTGGCGTTGAGCCTGGAAAAGCAAAGATAGTGTTACAGGAGTTGCTAGGGCTGGATGGAAAGGCGTGATAGTCTGGTGGATACCCTAATATAACTCGTCCCTATTATTGTGGCGTATTGTGTACATGTTTGTATTGTCTGCACTTGATTGCCGGCTGCTGTGATCCGGTATCTGGCATCGTCAATGCTTCAAGTTCCACCGAATTAACACCTAATTTCAACACAACTGCATGATTGATGCCTAATGGTCAGCCCCCGATAATGACACCTGCGACAAAGCAATCTTCAGATCGAAGCCCAGCCGTAAGGGTATGATATAGGTGATGTAATCACGAAGCATTCGCCACGCAATTTCATCGATACCCTGTCTTCGGACCCGAACTTGTATCATAAACCCACATGTCAACACAACAGCTCTTACACATCCTAATCCCATCTCTCAAAATTGTCAGTGTAACCGCAATGCTAAACCCTCAAGCCTTGTACCCTGCTCAACAATGTCTACTGAACGGAGTTCGGCATATGTCCGCGTTAGCGACCGTGTCGCTGTCATCCGATGTAATAGCAACACTCTCAAACGCAGAATAACACGCAGTATGGAACGAGGCGGCCTAGGCTGGAGGGGCGAGTCAGCACGACAGAAACTTGCTGCATCGCTCGTTACGCATTATGCGCAAAGTGATAGTAGAGAAGATGTCAACAAAGAATGGGAGAGGGAATTGGAGCTCGAGTTGAATGAGGTTTACGAAAGAACCGATAGCATGGAGCCTCTGAGACGCGAAAAGGGAGCGGAAGAGAAGAATACGGAGAGCTATGTAGGATGGCACATCCTGAATAGCAGGGAGATGAGAAAGAAGAGATTAGAGGAAGTGCAGGAAATGTATTTGCGCGGGGACCGTTTTGCTACTATTGTGAGTTCGCTTGTGCACAATCGCGAGTCAATGAACAGAGATGCAAACAATTGCTGTACTGAAAGCGCATGCTAATCGTAAGAAATTCAGATTGGTAAAGAGCAAGAGCAAATGCTTCGAGATGCGCTGAGAAGTTTCGCAGATAGCCAGCATGGGGATGAAGGGATGACGTTTTCATCACACCACTGTACTAGCGACGAGCAAGTCAAAGTATCAGCATCATCGTCCAATCCCGACTCGGAAGTCGACGATCTATTCTCCAACCACGCGCACTCGACAGCCGCTCTCCTCCGCAGTAACCCCGAACTCAATACTATCAACGATGTCAATATCACAAAAAATCAATGCTCTTCGGAACCTTACCCCTCCTGCACACCAACCTCCCTCACCCAACCTCCTGCCACATGCCCACCATCATCCCGCCGCCCCGTCACGCCCGCGCCCTCGACCGTGCATTCAAAATTCTCCGTATGGCCCTCTGACCACACCATCTCGCCTACAGTAGCGCCTTTGCATACGAATCAGCATCGTGTGTCGCCCGCACTAACTTCTTGTTCTTGCCTGTCCTCGTCTGCGTCGGCATCGTCCCGGAGCCGCAGCCGGAGCGCGAGGCGGGACCAACGGCCCCGTCACGAGAACTTTGCTGAAGAGAAGGAAATCGAGAGTGCAAATAATGACGACGATGGCATTCCCGGACGCAATGACGATAATGTAGAGTTTCCGCCCAACCACCCTTTTCACGGCCTTGTTGCACTCCAGAGACGAAGCTACTGGGACACGTTATCTTGCTACCACGCTGGCTCGTCGCGCTCGGCTTTGAGGAATTCTTCTTTGGTGGCGAAGCGCAGTACGGTGGTCCAGCCAAGTTCGCTTTCTTTTTCACCTGTGCGCAAGGGCTTACTGGATTCGCTGGCGCATCCGCATGGGGAAACAGCCACGTCAGGCTTCGAGAGCGCGTTTATTAGTAGCTTGAATCCCAGAGAGAGAGGGCGGGCGCAGGACACCATGGGTCGGATGTCAGAAGCGACGAGTAGGGTCGTGAGGTCAGTTAGGAGCGAGGAGAGTTTTTCTACTGCAGTACGACACGAAGCGGGAGACGATGCAAGAGGGAGAAAGAGAAGCGGCGCTGATAGGCTTCGAGATACATTTGGTTGCCGTCCCGAAACATTTACTCCAGAGTTTCCCGCGAGAGCAGTCGAGAATGAGGTTCAGCCCCCCGATGTGGCACCCGTGCCGAAGAAGTTCGGTATGGCGTATCTCGCAAGGAAAATGCGGAATCCCCAGACAATTTGGAAGAGGTCAAAGGAACAGTTACGACAAGGGCGCGGAGAAGTTCAAGACGCAGAAATAGCAGCAGAGGAAGAAACGAGAGAGCACGATACCAGGATCCAGATGCAGAACAGAGATCAAGAGCCCGAGACGAATATCCCAGAACCCAGAGACGAAGACACGACGAACGAGAACAACCAACCCACGAACACTCTCCCAGTTCAAATCACAAACAACCCACAGCACACACCAGAACCCACCTCTCCAGTATCTCCAATAACTCCACCTCCACCTCTCCTATTCACATCCACACCCACAACCCCCGTCGCCGCCGCCACCGCTCTTCATCCACCCTCCGCACCCCAAACCCCAACCCTCCTCTCAATCCCAAAAACCCGATCATCCTCACAACCCGCACCCCAACCCTCCCCACACCAACGCCGCTCCGCCTCGTCAGGCTCCTCCCCTTCAAGCCTCAGCGACCGCCTGCGCACAACCCGCCTCGAAGACTTACGCTTACGCTCCGAAACAGCGCAGGAGATTCGGAATCTGATGTTGGATATTGATCGGGATAGGAGGGGGAGTGGGACGTTTGGTTCTACTTCCCCTTCTCCTCCTCCTCCTCCTTCCACATCCACCACTGCTGCTGCTGCTGCTGCCACGAGCACTACAGCACCTATCGTACCACGACCAGCAGCCAAGACCCAAAGTGCAACAACGACACCAGAACTCCCCGGCGGCTTTACAGTAGCCGATTCACCAGGAAGTAGTGTTAGAGGGGCGCTGGAGAGGCATTTCAGGGTCAGGAGGGAGAGTCAGGATGACGGTGCTGCGCGAAATGAACTGCGCTCGCAGTCAAGTACTGCGACGTTGCCGAGGAGTTATCGCACGCCAGAGGTACATGAGTGAGTTTTATGCATTTTTTCGAGTTATGAAGTAAAAAAGAAGGGAGAGTCGGGAATACAGGACAGATTGGTGTCCTGCCTCCATATATCAAGCAAGGAACATAACGATTCATACGGCATCGTTGATGAATCATTGCGAGAAGAGCATTTGAACAACACTCCGTTTATTGCGGCGTAAAGAGGAGGGAGGCATATGGATCAGAAACGAGTAGAAGAGGGACTGTGGGCGCAAGCCTTGAGAAATATCTTTTTTTTATATTATAGATAATGTTTGTAATGTAATGAAGCGATGAGCATAGCGCAGTCTTGTCCTGTACGGAGTTGAAGGCAGATACCAGAATTGAAAGCATATTCCGAACATCCAAGCCAGATACGAAGGTTATGGTTAGTGCAGCATAAAGTTCATAGTATCAAAAGTCGTACAGACATAATGTACGTTACTCGTAGCAAAGCCTCCAAGACTGCGAGATAGCAAAATCTTGGGAGTTAGTATCAACAGACATCACTTCGTCTCAACATCACAGCATCACTTCACGCAAAAAAATACTCACGGCACATGCCTAGAGTACGTACAACACTCACAGCCCACCCTCGCGGAACTGCTGGGTATCCAAGGTTGATTCAGGAATGGTCATATTTTCTATGAAACATTCCTCAGCCACCACGCTGAACACGAGTCTACACAGGCCCGTAGGCACTGTGGACCCTTAAGACCCTATCCTTTTGTGTGATCCGAGACGCCATATCATGTACATCATGCTGTAACTGCTTATGCGACGAGCTGGACGACACCACCAGCCTCCTTGATCTTCTTCTCAGCCTCGGCGCTGACGTAACGGGCGCGGACGACAATGGGGACGGCAGGGAGACGGCCCTTGCCGAGAACCTTGGAGTAACCGTAGTCGAGGAGGTTGAGGACGGGAGCGTTTCCTCCCTTGTTGGCGAGGTACTCGTCACGCTTATCGGCGGGGATGAGCGACCAGAGCTTGTCCAGGTCTGCGACAGGTTAGATATTGAAGGTGTGTATGCGACAGGGCCTCAGCTTACTGATTACGGGCTTCCAGAAAAGGTTCTGCATCTTGTGGAAGTAACGCATACCGACCTTTCCGAAGTAACCGGGATGGTACTTGTCAATGTTGGTGCGGTGGTGGTGTTGACCACCCTAGACGTCTTGTTAGTGACATTGCATTATCACATAGGATACGCCAAAACTTACGGCCATACCACGACCACCGGGATGCTTCCTGTGCTTTCCGACACGTCCGTGACCAGCAGAGACATCTGAACATGAGTTAGCCTTCAGTCCTCCATCGATATTCCCGTCTCATCCCAGCGACTCGTCTTCCTTCCTGTATTCTTTCTCAAGGCGACAACTTCAGCGCAATCGCATCGATCGAGCGCCGGAAAGAAGAATGTGGTCGGCAATCGAGTCGCTTGGACGGAGCAGTATGATATAACGTACGGCCGCGGTGCTTGCGAGTCTTGGTCAGTCGGGTAGGCATGTTGACTGTCGCTGTTTGGTTAGTTGCGAGAGACTGAAAGTTCGATCGCTGAGGCTGTTTTGGTCCAGTGGGCGGAAGATCCTAAGCGAGATGGCGCTAACGACGGTGTACTAGTTTCTCCGATGGTCACGTGTTGATGGGTCGTTGGACAGCACAGCGAACGTCAAAGCAATCAAAGCAAAGCCAACAGAGTTCAAGTGATGCAAGTGAAAGAATCGTAATGAAGATTTTGTCAAATTACATATTCCTATCTCGCAACAACCGAATGCGCCACGCTCCCACCTTCGCTATGCAATACACACTCATCGACGCCCAGCAACACTTTTAGCCCCAATACGGTGTTCGCAACCCGACAAAAGTCGATCCTACGTCGGCTAGATCATCCTTCTTGGGTCGCTGTCCTGCAAGCTGTACAAGAGTTAGCGGAACTGGCTGGCAAAGTTACCGCAAGATCAAAGTACCTCTAACTGGATATGCCTGTGAACATGCACAAGCCAGTCTACATAGCTTTGCGCCTCATTGTTCCGATCCTCGTAGAGCAACCGAGCGAACTCGTACTCTGATCCGTCCAGACCTTGTCGTGCAAGCTGAATCGTAAGAGCCTTGGAGCCGCGCGTGGTAGCTAGGTACTGCAGGATGTTTCGTACTTGCGCGTTGAGATGAGTTTCGAGAATTGGGAGTGAAGACTGGAACGGATCCAGTACTTTAAGGCTATTGTTGCCCTCGCCGAAGAGGTCTTCGAGTAAATTGGGCGAGACTTGTGAGTGCAGCCACAGCAGACATACTTGACCGTTATCAACAATGTACGCGCCACCCTCCTCAAACTTAGAGAAGGATGCTCGTGTACACTCAGGCATGACCAGATGACCCTTTTCGTTGGCGAATCCATCGCCGGCATCGAGGTTGTGAATTGCGATGATTCTTGGGTAAAGATACAACGAAAGCTCCAGAGGCCCCATGGACTTGAGCATCCGCATGTCATGGACCCTCCTGTCCGTGGGCTCCTTACCACCCTTGAAAGCGCGTGATTTGATCAAACCAAGAATGTACATGCTGAATTCCTTGAGGTTCTCCGGTAGTACGAGTTGACCAGGAGGATTGTTGCCAGAGAAGTTCTTCCTGTAACCAGAAAGAATATCGACCGTCTTCTCCGTCAGAGCTCCTCTAATCTCCTTCAGGTTCTTCTCAGTCATACGAGCAGCGGCTTCCTTGGCAATGATGTTCACCACTGCATCCTGGTCGACAAACTTCATGCACTCACCAGTGTTTGCACTAACACTGGCTACGATGTTGCTACACCTTACTCGGCGCTCACCGTTTGCAGCTGTGTATAGGAGTGCACTCTGGAAGTGCGCATCGAGCTTGGGATCCAGCTTGCCGTCATAGCTAAACATCACACCAATAGCCTTGTCTTGATCAATGACTCCAAACTCCAAGTCGGCTCCGAATGTGTGGTGGTAGAAGTTGCCGTGGTAGGCAGAGACCTGCAACCCAGTCGAGCATCGAACCTTCATCAGCGCTTGATATCCGGTTTCTCGCGTGACCGTGTGCTGGACCTCTTTGGAAAGTCTGAGCAGATCTCTTGGAGAATGGAAATTTGGATAATAGAAGACCTCTCCGCCTGTTGCAGCAGATACATGACCTATCAATGACAATTAGTAGTAGTTACGAGCCGATGATGACATCACTCACCTATTGTTGCAATGTCCAAGTATCCTCCACTGGGCGCAGCAAGGAAAAAGTCGACGCCAATACCATTCTGTACCATCTTCTCGGCAAGCTTCTTGAACCCAGGGTGCTCAGTTTGAAATAGCTTCTTCTCAGCGTCAGTATTGAGTTGATTGCCATCTTCGCGGAGTACAAGTCGGCCAGGACCCCAGGTAGGCAGTGCGGCCAAAGAGCACACTATCTTTCCGCCCGTTGCTGACAGTGCCTGTAGCGCAGAGTTCAAGGTAGGAAGGAGAGCCGGTTCAGGATGATGGACCTCAGCGAACATATTTGGTAAATTCGTGAGAAGCGAGGTGATGACGCCCTTTGACTCGACAGGATCGACAAACAAGCCTTCACTGAATGGCAAAAAGGGGTCCTCAAGATCTGACATGACCAACATCTGAGCGCTAGTCAAGTTGGGGCTGAGGTTGTAGAAGTGCATCTCCTTGTCAAAGGTCACGATACCGACCTTTGCACCCTTCGGTATCCGGCTTGTGGCTTCTGTCCCTTCTGCCTCGCCTCTTGATTCACCGTACAGAGCGCCCAAGATCCCCTCGCAGAAACCATACAAGAAGCCGCGGTTCACAGCCTCAGAAGTGACATCAATCAAGAATAGCCATCGTAAACCGACAGGCTCCTTAGACCAGTATTCCTTTGGTACCATGAAGTCGACCGTACCGAGGGTAAGTTCAGGTCGCTGCAACCGGTCTATCCGTACGCCAGCCATATCTGTAGGTGAAAAGTACTCTCCAGGAACATCGTTGGGGTAGCTGCAAAGATTGCATACAAATTTGTTACCACCAGATTTGAATTGCACAAACGGATTCATGTAAGCTCGACACCTTGTGCATCTTGGTGGTCCAGTCTCGCCAAAGTCTAGTACCGGAATTGGCTGTTCACCTTCCTGCTGAGCAGCCAGTGGTTGCAAGATCATACCCAGTGGTAAAGAAGTCGCAGCAAGTGCCTGTGCAGTGAGTGGGATACTGTTCATAGTTAGGCGTGCGTACTTTGGCGAGGAATTGCCCTGGTCAAAAGACACAAATGGAACAGTAGCCGGAGGAGGTAGGTGGTGCTCCATAGTAGGATATACGTGCTCCAGATAGTATTTGGCTGGCGCATCTCGCGACTTCGGTACACTGGGTATCTGTTCGGGGTCCACACGTCCCTGTGCCGATCCTACGGCTGCTCCACCTGGTTGATGTGGCGATGCGGCTGTCCTCGCAGCATACTGCATAGGAGATGCCTGAGCGCCAGGGCTGAAGACTGGGTTCGCTGGTGCGGGAAACTGGCTCATAGCGGGGGTGACCTGAGGTTCCATCCATTGCGCTCCACCAACTTGGGGCGAGTTCTGGTTATTGAACTGCGCGGGTGTGCCATTAGGAGACATGCCATTGAAAGACTGTTGGCTTCCTCCAGGGCCCTCGATATTGTGGTATGCATGCCTGTTCTTCTTCTTATGCTTTGGCTGTGCCACTTGCTCCCCGCCTAACCCGACTGCGCCCATCTGCCCCGCCAAGTTGTTGACATCTTCGTCGCCCTGGTACTGTGGATAGGCCTGTGGTGCCTGCTGGTGTGGGAAATATGACTCTTGCTGCACCGGCGTGCCGTAGTGCGCGGGCGCGCCTGCGTATGGACTCGATGCTTGAGGAATCGCTGGGCTTCCGGCCTGAGAGTAGCCAGGAGGGCCCGCCGCAACTGGCGGTCGCCATTTGTTCTGTTCATCTTGCATGTCCGCACCGTTCGGGTTGGGATAGCTCGCACCAGGAGCCTGATGCATAGGGTATCCGGACAT